ACATCATCCTACATGTGTGTCAGAGCTTTTCGGGCGACCTGCTCCCGAATCTTGACACACCGCCTCTGCAGTAGTTACATTACCAGGCCGCACAGGTTCGGGACTGTGGGAATTCGTAGAGGTGGACTTCAGATTAATCCGTAGACAGCTAGGAGCGCAATCATTCTCAGGAGGTATTCATCTTGCGCATACAATGTTCATCTGCCAGAGGACTTCATATGTTTTCCGCGTCTGGATATTTTCATCAGCTGGGAGCATTCACATCTCATCGTTCGGTAATTTTCAGCGTTAGATGTAGACTGAAGCCCACTATTCAGAAAGAAGACAGGGACTCAGGGAGTATTCATCATTCCCCCGCAGACCGAGGGGCCGGCAGCGCTTTGGCAGAATTACTACCGGGAATCACACACATACCCAGTCTGAGCTGGTTGTCTCGAGTCGTCATCTTCTTCTTCACGCTTCGAATTGTGCTTGCATGCAGAATCTCCACAGAAAGTCTTCAGAAGCTTGCATTCAGAATCTCCACAGAAAATCTTCAGAAGCTTGCATTCAGAATCTCCACGGAAAATCTTCAGAAGAGATATGGTTGTTTTCAGCAGGTACGTTTTCACACTTACCATCGGAGGTCTTCGTTGGCCGCAGCTCCGATGGTAAGCCTGCGGCCCCCTGCATCCCCTGCATTCTCGTATATGCATTACAGAACTGTCGGAAAAGATGTCTTCCTTAGAAACAGGAATTCCACACACACACACACAGACACACACACACAGAGACACACACACACAGACACACACACACACACACACAGACACACACACACACACACAGACACACACACACACACACACAGACACACTTAGACATCCATCGCGCAGCCACTAGTCAATCTGGTTATCAAGCACCGCTTGATGTATCTCGAAAGCATGAAGCTTTCAGGGGGTCCGGTACCTGTCTGGCCTCAAGGCTCATCTTCACTTGATCTCTGACTTTTTGACTGTACAAGGCAAACTCTCCCAGACATGCACATGAAACTGCACTGCACTCCTACTCGCAATCAACAGTTGT